ACGTTACTGCAATGTCACGCTGTGGGAATCGTGGGAACCTGGGAACGCGGAACATAAATGAGGAAGTCTGTTTTCCAAGGCTATGCAGTTGGTTGCTGTGCTTTTTACTGCATGAATTCAGAGTAATCAACTACTTAAAGCCAGAAATTGAAAAAAAATGGGGAAAGGGTTATGTAAGACAATGTCTGCATAAGCTGGGGATTGGATTTGACGTCCTCTCCAGGAGTGCTGGAGCCTCTCCAAATACAGCCACCAGCATTTAGCAGGAAGAGAGATTACTCCCTGTTCCAGCTAGTCCCCGTCATGTCCTTTGGTGAACCCCTGCAGCACCCTACAGCATGGCTCTGGAGCCCCAAAGCCCTCTGTCATACCCTCAGCACCACAGCCCCCAGTGCTGCTGTGGTAAGCCCAGGTTGCAGCTGGCATGCATTGCAAAAGCGTGGCCACTCCATTCAGCCCTCCCTCTTCATGGTACAAATGAGTAAGGCGTAAACCTGGTGTGAATTGATTGAGTGGTCATCTTAGCAACATTATTTCTTCTGCCTTTTGCAGCCCGTGGCTTGTGTGTTACCAGCTGAGGGCTCTTCCCTGTAGCAGTAATACTAATGTGCAAGAAAGCTGGGTTTACACTGGATGGATGGATGGATGGATGGATGGATGGATGGATGCAGACCTTTGGGCAACAAAAATCAACTGCCACAGAATTTTGTACTACAGGCCTGGTTTCCTTCTTAAAACTGAAATTTCTGCATTAGACAAGCCTCATCATTTCCTAGTGCCTGTGAAGCAGGATACGGAACATATGAAGCCAGAAAGTGAACAAACTTTAGCAAACTCTAAAATCAGATGCCCTGCTTCAAGGCTAAGACATGGTGCTTCTACAGCAATCCTTGAAGCTTGACATTTGCAAATAGATGAAAACAATGTTCAAGGTTGGCTTATCTTATCTGGCACCTTCCAAAGTGCTAAATTCATTTAAAAGATGAGTGCTGAAAGTGGTGACAAGTGGAATGATATTGTATTGTTGAAAGTGCAACATTTCATACATGGGACAGTGTGGTGGTTTCCCCTTGGAAGTGCTTCTTTGGAGAACATCATAGGTCACTGATCTGGCATAGCAGTCTCCTCCCTGTGGATAGTTTGCACATTGCAGAAGCTAATTCACCAGGCTTTCTGGTTTAGATTCTAGCCCAATATTGCTAGTAAAAGCAACTAGTGAATGTAATACAAGGCTATGGCTGGGCTAAGGAGCTTTCATAAACTGACATTTGGAAGCAAGTACTTAAGTCCCAGAAAGGATCTGTAGAAGTGCAATTCTAAATAAAAATGAGCCATAATAATGCAGCTGCTTTCAGGTAAGCATCAAGAAAAAAATACCCTAATTTGTATCCATAAAATGGTCATTTTTTGCAGCATTTTTACAGCTACAGTATGGATTTTAAAGTGATAGCATCTTAAGTTAAAACTGTAATGCTTTTAAACCTGTCATAACCTTAGCTAGACTGAATATAAAGATGTTATTTACCTGCAACTGTAGTCTGCTTAGCACACAACCATTTTAAAATTACATGTATCAAGCAGCACTGCAATTACAGTGCATAGCAGGGACTTTATCCTGCAGAATGCTGATGATAGTTGAGAGGTGTGTAATACTTGCATTTCTTATTAAAGCATACGCAGAAGGCATCCCTTTGAAGCACTCAGCACCTTTAAAGTTTGGTCAGTGTAGACATGTTTTCCTTCATTGATCCTTCTTGGAAAACACCCCTTAGCCTTGCTGAGAGTTTGGCAACAATGGGAAAAAGGCGCTCCACATCTCTTTACTGCTAGTATGGCACAACTGTGGGTGCTTGGACTCACCAGTCCAATAAAGATCGAAAGAAGCTCACAACTGTCTGGCAGTTTGTTTCAGGCATCCTGTGAACAGTGGTGTCAAGTCCTGGGCTTCAGTTCAAAAAAGCTCTGAAGCATGTGCTTCCTTTTAAGCACATACCTAACACAACCCTTAATGCTTTTCAGAGCTGAGTGAGGGTTGACTCAGTAACCTCTGATCATTAATAGAGAAGGAAATGTGCATTTAGAAAAAGTGCCTTTGGCCAGGCCCTGACCTGTGGTTTTGATGTGGCTGAACTGAAATCTGAGTTGAAACTGAAGGTGCTCTTGGACCACGGATAGATGCTCAGCCTGCCACAGGTGATGCTCAGTGTTGCACACATACCCTGTCTTTATTGCAATGCCATCTGGCAAGAAGAGCACTTATAATACTTTTATTGATACTTTGCAAGGCAGGAAATATTATCTTCACAAACATGCTGAAGTGTTGGAAGTAACTTTGCCTAAAATGATTGATACTGGCAATGATAGAGATGGAGAGACTTCAGAACTTCTCAGTCCTGGACAAGTACTCTGCCCAGTGAAGTCTTCTGCCTTCAGGGACAGAAATGGACACAGCTCCAGGCAAGATGGTGTGGGAAGAACACCAAAGAGCCCTGTGGCTCATGCTTATCTGTAAATCAAATTCTTGGTGTCAATACTGATGAGTCAGTCTTGCTATGACTGCAAAGGGAGACAGCTAGGTCTGTGATGTTACAGATCGGTTCATCGCAGAGCCATCATTTGGTGGCAATTTACCATCATCGCTCTAAAGGTGTGTCTGTCATTCATTTTCCTGAATGACATTGGAAACTCAGCATAAAGTCTTACCACAAATACACTATGGTTCTGTAGCAAGGAACCATGGGAAAAGAAGATTTGGAGAGTGGTTTTTTTTAATGCTTTTTCAAAATCTCTTGATGTAAGATGTGACAAGTAAGAAAAAATAGAGACACATTTTATTTTTTGTAGCTTTCATTTATTTTTAAGAAATGAGTCAAAGAAATTGCTGAAAAGAACCAGTAGCAGAGGCTATATGATGAGCAGATCTAAGAGACATTTTAATATTTGATGAGACCAAAAGCTTCTCATCACTAACCATCTTTTAATGGCACTTGCCCTTTGTCTGGGTGTATGAGGCTGCATGTTTCTAAGGGACTAACTTTTCTGACTTTCTAATGAAATACCTCTCAAGATGGGGATAAAAGTGGTGATTTGGAGCTGTTTGGTTGCTATATCAGTTTAGGTTATGATAGGTGGGAAACTGAAGCTTTGTTTGCATCTCAGCATGTTCATGTGTTACTTCAAACACTCCACATTATTGAGTGACTTCTTGGTCAAAGATGATTAAAAATACTGATGCACAGAGCCTTACAGCCAGTCTGCTTGACAGAGGAGTAATCTAACACAGAGATGAATGGGCCGAATTGAGCAAAGCACTTAAAAATGTGTATCCATTCTCTGTCAATGGAGTGCTCATATGTATGTTTTCAAGTTAGGTGGAAAGCCGCAGGAATTGGGTCCCCTTTTGAATGGCTCTGAAACTTGTGCACAGCAACCTGCATTGAGTCAGAAGCAAATCTGCAATGTAGCCAGGAACTGAAGTCAGGAGCGCTGCCTTTCATTCGGCATCCCAACAGAAAATACTCCTCCATCGCTCGCATGACATCTCATGTAGGGGGAGGAGAAGAAGAGCCTAGTAATAGACCAAGTCTATGAAAGTTTTAGCATGACTTTCTGGTTTTATGGAGTCAGTAGCAAGAGTTGACTTGTGGCGATGCACGGAACAGGATTGAGCTTTCAGAGCTGTAGCTGTGTTTTTGGTATGCCGCACTAACGCTGAATTACTGACAAATAGCTGGAAATGGGTGTTCTGTATGATTTAGAAATAATGTGAATCCTGACTGAACTTCTGTTGGGTTTTCCTTCCATTTGCTGTTTCAACATGAGAACAAGGAGGGCATTATTTATAACAAATGTAAAGTCCCACAAGGAGAAATGATATTTTGAGTTGACAGACTCTTGAAAGTGCAAATGTAGTTTTATAACTAAATACATTTTCAGACAAGAAAATGAGAGTTAATCAAAAGTTAGATGTCCTTGAAAAAGCTTTCCTTTTTTTTTTTATCTTCCTTGGAAATATTCACAGCTGTCTTGATGCAAAAGTAATCATAATATCTATATACCTATATCACAGTATCTCAGCAGTTACACTATTTTAAAAGCACTTGAGTGGATTTCTTTATTGATGTGATCCAGTCAGAATGGGACATATCAGGAACAATAAATTGTTTAGAAACTCAAAATAAGAGATTTTTTAAAATTTAAATTAAGGTTAGAAAACCTAATTTTAAGGAAGTATAGCATTCTGGGGAAAATGAAAAATGTTCTAAGAGTCTTTCAGAAAGGCATTCATTCAGTGAAAGATCCCATTCAACATGAGTTGATTTGGGATAGAAGTCCATGTCTTAGACGTTCTTTATTATCAAGGGAATATATCAAAAGGACTGAATTTTTTTTTAAAGCTGTGTAGGACTGGGTAGTTAATGTGGAACAAAATAATTTGATGCATTAACTTTGGAAAATATCAACAGAAAATAGCATTGCTTTAATTCACTCAGAATTAGGATATTAAACCATACAGATCCTGATGCTACCGTGTCATGCAGGCAGATTACTGTGTCTTCATGGATTTCAGTTGATGTCGCTGAGTTTCTAGGAGAATCATCAGTGCAGATTTCATTTCATGAATCTTTTTTAGTTTCCTGAGTGTTAAATTGGAGAGTAAAACCGGCCTAATTTAAAGTGGGTTGGTAGGCTAAGTTAATTAATGATTTTATAAAGCTTCCTGTTCCTTGGGTACAGTGTGCCAAGTAAATGTTAAAGATGAGTTTGCACTTCAGAAACAATGTCTTTGGAGATTCTGTTGAGAAACCTTCATGGTAGTGATTGTTGTTGGGGGGGGAGGAGTTTGGGCCATGAATCCCTAGTTCTTAGAAGCTCCTCAAAGTGAATGGTATGAGATGGGGAAAAAAGAAACCATGGTTTCTCCTTATTTAATGTCTTGATACTCTCCCTTGTCAGGGTCTGGAGGAATTGTTTCTGACTCTTTCATTTGTTTTTATCAGGTTGGGGGTCACACCATGCTGCCCATTCGTTGGATGCCTCCAGAGAGTATCATGTACAGGAAGTTCACCACAGAAAGCGATGTCTGGAGCCTGGGGGTTGTATTATGGGAAATCTTTACCTATGGCAAACAGCCATGGTATCAGCTTTCAAACAACGAGGTGTGTGTAATACATTCTCAAACTGCATTGGGAAGGCTGGCACGTTAACTATTGGTGTAGCTTCTTTGGAGAAGGGACAGCAACAAATTTATTTAGTAAAGGAAAACCCCTGATATCAGGTATTTATGGTATTGTCATGAACTTCGTGGTTGAATTTCTTCCTTTTTACCCTTTTCTCCTTAGGGTGCATGGAAGTTGTCCAAGCGCAACTATACCAGTTTGAATTTAGCTTTTTTCTTTGGATAGGATAGAATCTGCTCTGGGTATTGAGAAAGACCATGAGGCAATGAAAAGGAGCTTAGCTATCTCCTGAACAGGCTTTGGGTGACTTCAATTCCATATCATATATGTCATTGTTGCAGAGTGGTTGTCCAAAATCATTCTTGAAAAGATTGAAAATCTGGAGATCTCTTGGCAGCACAAGTAACCCCTTTCCAGAGACTAGCCACAGTGATACTCACAAGTTTAAGGAAGGAGAGAGGGAGAAGCACTGATGCTCTGTGTGAGCAGGGTGAAAACAGCCTCCTTCTGAGATGAGGTGAGGTTGATAGATGTGTAGGGAGAGGAGGTATGGGATTACTTCCTGGCTATCATTCCCTTATGAGAGGAAGGGGCAACGTGGGTGAACTTGACATTAGTGAAGTTGTTGCTCCTTGACAGCTTACACTACAGTTATTTTTCCAGATTGCATCCCACTGTTCATGCATATACCGAGAAACACAGCCCTTGGCAGAGTTGGCGGGGTGACTGCCACCAGTGAGGCTGCTGTGGCGATTAGCAGTTAACTCTTCCATGGATGACCACCACGTAGTTGGCACAACTGTGCTGATCCTTTCCTTGTGATTTCTCATAGGTGATTGAGTGCATCACTCAGGGCCGAGTCCTGCAGCGACCTCGCACATGCCCCAAGGAAGTATATGACTTGATGCTGGGCTGTTGGCAACGGGAGCCTCACATGAGGCTCAACATCAAAGAAATCCATTCCCTCCTCCAGAACTTGGCCAAGGCATCTCCAGTCTACTTGGATATTTTAGGCTAAAGTCTCCTAGCATTTCTTCTTATGGGCTGCGGGAATGAATGTGTTCAACTGCCGCTGAACTCCATTAAAATGTGTTCTTAACTTTGACAGTACTAATGACAAAGTTGCGGAGAAGCTTTCAAAGGGCAAGCAATGTGCACTTCTCCATCTGTAGACACAGTATTGACTTTTTAGACATTACTGAGACGTATTTCTTCTCTCTCTCTCTCCCCCCTTCAGTTTCTATCATTTTTTTCTTCTCTCCTGTCTTTCTAATCAATTTGGCTTCTGCATTATTGTAACTCTGCATAGACAAAGGCCTTAAAAACCTGATCTGTTATATCAGCAGACTCTTCAGTTTGCCCACCACAACTAACAATGCCTTGTTGTATTCATGCCTTTGATGTGGATGAAAAAAAGGGAAAAATATATTTGACTCGAACTTTGTGATTTCTGCTGTACAGCTACTGGAGTTTCTATGGATTCACCTCAATTTTTTTGCTTTGGCATGTGGGTGGAAAAAGAAGACTGGTGTTCTCTACGTGAAGCATGTTCCTTGCGGAGATGAAGCCAGACGGAAAGAAGACAGTCTTGTGTGATACACTATCTGGAGGAACTAGGGGATCAAATGGCACCCAACCCCACAAAAACACACTGACATTATTTGATGGACGGCAAGAGGGGGTTTAGCACTTTCCTGAAGAGTCTTTCTGAGGACTATAGGGATTGTTCAAGGAGGTGCTTTGCCAGCACCTTTCATTGCCAGATACAAGTAAAAGGGAAAAAGGTGCTGCCTGCACTGCACACAATTACGTTACAACATGATAAACTAAACACATGCCCTTATTTTGTCTTCTGGTAGGCTATTGTCATGCCACTCGTATAAAAATGTTCTCCAGCTGGTCTTTTTTAATAAAGGCTGAAGCTAGGCTTATTAATGTACAGTATTAATTTCAGGATCACATGTTGAAACTAAGGATTTTGATAAGATAGGACAAGCTATAGATGCTGGGGCAGGTGTATCTTATACTGTGCTTGTCCAGCAGCATATTCCTTCCTTCCTCAATCCTTTTTCTTTTTTTTTTAACCGTGCAAGCAAAACTGTGCATGGTCTTTGTCGATTAATGCCCTTTGTGCAGAAACTATCACTCATGTTGTAGTACACCCTAGTAGGCATAGTGAACTCATAACGATATAACTTATATTTCCTTAGAAGAGGCTAATGGAGGACATTAGCCATGTTAAAATGCCTTTACAATGTTACAGATACAATAGGCTGATATAACATGAATAATCTAAACCATGGAGATCACTGGCTATGTTTGAGCCATGGCAGGGGATAGAGATCTCTAGAGAAAACAAATTACTCTGAGGTTATGGCTTACTATTCAGAGTGCAAAGACCCTGAGCTCAGCACCATGTTTGTATTGGTACTAGTGCTGTCATTACCAACATCCAGTCTTTCTTAAATAATTTATTTTTAGTTGGATTGGCACTGTATGTGTACAACATTTGCATGGCCACTGTGTTGATGACAGCTGCATGGGCATACCTGTTATTTTTCAAACCAGAAGTTGACAATTTCAAATTTAGAGTTAGGATTATTTTTAATATGAATTCTTACAAATGAAAACCTACCTTACCTGTTCCTCAAGACTTTTGCCTCCCTCTGTGAGGGGGCGTTACTGCAAAAAAGTGATCTTTCTTTCTGTTTTCTCTTTTTGTTATTGATATGAGCCAGATCAAAATAGTCCTTCATCTTTGTGTTGGGGATATTTTATTTAATAAATTAAGCATTTTATTTTTGTAAGTGTTCCCATAGCACATTTAATATATAATTTGCTTGCATATATTATTTATTGAGGCACTTTAGGTTTTTCCTTCAGAAACTTTTAGAGCTAGCTCATAAAGATTCTGAACATTTTCAAAAGAAAACAGTTCACTGGACACTGATGAAGTTTTACCCTTCTCAATGTCATTGAAAAGGCAGCATTACAAATAAACATGATAGTGTAACTATAAAGCCATACTCAGTATTTCTTTAATAAACTAGATGTTATTTCTTAACCGCTACTGAACTGGAAACACACAAAAAGCCAGAGGAAGATTCCTACAAAATGGGCCTTAAGATTTTATCTAGACTGTCTTGGAAGTTCACACAGAAAGCTAGATAAAGACCGAGCATCCAGCAAAACCCATTCTCTTGAGAATCTGAATGTTGTGTTTTAAAGGAATTTGAAATTGATTTTCAAAATAACAGTGGTGGGAAAGAAAGGTGTCAGAGTCCACTCTTACTGTGCAGTGGGAGGAGGCTGCAGGTGGTGGAGGGGGGTGCTAAGTTTCTACCTGCTGTAGTCTGTCTTAGTTTCTTATGAGCTGAAGAAAAAGGCATCTGAGATGCTTCTTCTATTGGAAAGCAGGCTCCAGCCTGAAAGCAAACAGGTGGGTTTTGCAAGCACTGAAAGAATGTATACCAAAAATAACCACAAAACCCTGAAAATGTACTTAGTGGCATCTTCTTTTTGATTTACTAGTGAGACTATTAGAGTCATTTCAGAGAATAAATAGTGTTACAATGCATTGTGCAATAACATAGCAGTATGTTAAACTTCTAAAGGACCAAATGTTCTACAGAGCCACCGGTATGGATAACCTTGACCTATATCATTAATGTTCTTGATAGTGCATAAAATGTATAATCACAGTAGAAAAGCTATAAACTGTAGCTATACATAGTTTGCATTTGTTCATGAAAAGGTGGGTAAGTGTAGCAGAATGAGCAGAGAAGAGGAAGAAATATGTTAAAATCACAATGAAGGGTGAGTATATGTGCATATTCATCATGCCTGCACTGTCAGCTAAATCGTGTACACTGAGTAACTATGACAATCAGGCTCATTTAAAAAGTCTTTCTGGACTGTGCTATGAACCGATCATATATATAATATATATTATATATGTGTGTTTGCATATGGCATATATTTATACACACACATAGCATATACATGTATGCCTATGTCTGTTGTATTTTATTTATATATGTGCAGACATGCATGCACATGATGTATGGGCTGTGTGTATATGTATAAATTTACATACACCTACATTATTACAAATGATGATTAGAGTGCTATTAATAAATTGATAAAGTCTGCTGAGTAACCAAAATATTTTTTTTCTTTTGATATTTCTTCTTCTATGTTTGTAAGATTCAACTTTTTAACTGGTGTGCAGCAGAGGCAGTGCTAGAATGCCAGAGATAAAACAACAAGCACTTTTCTTCCCCAGATGATTGCATAAAAACGTTTCTTCCATTCCCATCTCACTTGTTGATTTCTCACAATGAAATGAACAGCTAAGCTTCCAAGCTCAGAAAACAGAGTTTGTTTTACTGTCATTTCTGGGTTTGTGCTATTGTTTTATTGTCCTAGAATAACAGTGCAGCTCCATTAGCATTTTATACTCATCTGCAGTAACAAAATAATTCCAAGAATGAGCTGGACTATTCAGAGTGCAACACGACTTGTAGGACAATGAGAATGCCAAAATTCAGCAGTAATAATAGCAGCATTCGCCACACTCTGTCCTTCACTCTCAATAGATCTGCAGAAATCAGAACTGGCCGTGAAGAACAGATACTTGTAAAGCAACAGCACCCCATGATGCATGATGGAGTGTCCCCTTTTTAAAAGAACTTCATTCATTTTGATTTGTAAAACAATATATATTGTCTACAGTTTAATAAGTAACTGCCTATTTTTTCTCTTTTTCTTTCTGTTTTGTCCTTTCTTGCTATTTCTTTATCGCTTTCTTTCCTTCTTTCTCTTTTCCTTTCTTTCCTTTTCTCCTTCTTTCCTTCTTCTTTTCTCTTCCTTTCTTTGTTTCCCTCTCTTTCTCTCTGTACCCTTCCCCACCTTCCTGGAAGATTGTTTTTGTTGTGGTTGATGTAGACTTTTACAAAACATTTTAAAAAGAAATTAAATAGCCCAATAAAATGATTAGGTCACTGGATGACTAAGGTACAATGCATATGTGTTAGAACAAGTCTGTGTCTGGGTTGTTGCAGCCTGTTACTGAATTTCAAATACTGCTATAAAATGTGAGGGAGGGGAGTGGGGAGGGGCTGGGGAACAGATCGGGGTTTCTAATCAAAGATTAAGGTTTTGATAGCACAGGAAGTTGTATTTTCTTGTGAGGGCTGGGATGAACCACTGCTGCTTTGAATCAAGAGGTCCTTTAGAGCCTTAGTTAAAATACCTTTATTTGGGTGGGGTGGGGGGATATGCTACATTCATTACAAATATGAAGCAAAAAAAAAAAGTCTACATGTTGCAGGGAAAACACTGTGAATTTCACAATAGCAACCAAGTGACTATCTTGCCATCTTTTAAACGTACGTCTCAGGAGAAGAAATGGGAAATGATGGGTGTGTTATTTTTCCGTCTATGCATTCTAGACCAGGTCTGTGGGGTTTTTTTGTTTGCTTGTAGAAGGTTCTGAGTGATGACCTGCTGGTATTTTATAAACACTGAATACTTTGGGCAAGGATAATAGAAGCTGCTAGTAGTGAGGCCCTTTGATTGGAATATGTGAGAAAGTAAAAGATCAAATCGAATCTTTCCAGAGGCCTGTATCTTGCAGCTTATATGTATCTTTCTGTAACTTAAAGAAAAGCAGCTAAGAATGTTTTATATACAAGTAATTTAATTCAACATTGATGTTTAATTGAATCACCAATAGAGAGAGAATCAATTAATTATGAAATATTTGTCCCAGCCCTGCTCTCCACCTATACTTTATGTATATATATATTTCTAGATATCGCTCTCTTTGTCACTTAAGGTAAAGAGGAAGGTATCTACATATAAATATAAATCTCTATATTGTCACCAAACTGTGACCTGGTGTGTAGAGCTATCTTTCTCCTTTCTTTTTTCTTTTTCTTTTTTTAATGTGATGTCTCCGTGGAAATATTTAGTGGTTCTTGTTTTGCAGTTTGTTATAACAAATCATTGCTTTAAAACTTTCATTGCATCTTGGCTGATTTCAAAGTGATGCCTAGGTATCAGTGTTAAAAGTTTTGTTTGTGAATCATGTGACCAGCTTCTCTCGACATGACATAGAAAGTCTCTTGTATTACAGTGTATTTAATAAAAATGATGTCTTACAATAAACAATGTCATCCAAAAGAAAGGTAAAATGATTACTTTAAAAAACCTAAAAATTTCATGAAGCGTTGTGTGCTATTTTCTTGTCTGAATGCCTTTGTTTACCTCCATTCTTTTTGAAAAGGGTGAAATTAAGGAGCGGTTTGGAATGCTTACAAACATGACATATTTGCACTCTAAAACTCTGAATAAAAAACAGGTCGCTGAAGTTGTAGTTGATGAAAGAGGAGACCCATAGTAATAAGGCAAAG